TATTAATGCATTCACTGGTTGATTATTGTATGTGCCCTGACCGGATGAACCTGCAACCTTGGCATATCCAAAGGATGCTCTAACCAACTGAGCTACTGGGCCAGGGACTCAATGAGTGATCAGTATGCAGGATGTGTGAGGTTGGAGAGAGAATGCTGATAGAATAGATAAGGCAGGGTGAGGCCTGATTTTAAAGAGCATGCTCTGGAGATTTAAGCCTTACTGTGCCAGGCCAGCACAGCCAAGGGTTCGGTGAGTCTGAGGGGGTGGGGGTGGGGGTGTCCGCGAAGGATTAAAGATAGACAAGAGAATAAGCTGGGTCTAGTGGACCTCCCGTGCCTGGCTGAGGCCACAGAGAGATCCAGACGCAAGCTGAGCCTTTATTTTATAGCCACAGGTAAACAAGGTAGTGGTCACCATAGTTACAATGTTCTTGTGAGTTTCACTTGTTTTGGCAGCACTTGCTGCACCTCCCACAGCCCATTAGCTACCCAGATAAGATCTAAGGAGAGTCATAAGGTCAAACTTAATTATGCTAAGAGAGCTGTGCCCTCTAAGCTGGGACTTGTTTGTGGCTTTGCCAACAGGTCAGTCCCAGGCTTAACCCTATAACCGCTCCCTATGGCTTACTATGTAGGCAACAGGGAAGCTATAAGGGTTTTCTTTCTTTCTTTTTTTTTTTTTCTTTTCTTTTTTTTTAATTAAATCTTTATTGTTCAGATTATTACATTTGTTCCTCTTTTTTCCCCCCCATAACTCCCCTCCTCCCAGTTCCCGCCCCACCCTCCGCCCTCACTCCCCACCCGCTGTCCTCATCCATAGGTGCACGATTTTTGTCCAGTCTCTTCCCGCATCTCCCACACCCCTTTCCCCCCCAGGAATAGTCAGTCCATTCCCTTTCTATGTCCCTGATTCTATTATAATCACCAGTTCATTCTGTTCATCAGATTATTTATTCACTTGATTCTTAGATTCACTTGTTGATAGATGCATATTTGTTGTTCATAATTTGTATCTTTACCTTTTTCTTCCTCTTCCTCTTCTTAAAGGATACCTTTCAGCATTTCATATAATCCTGGTTTGGTGGTGATGAACTCCTTTAGCTTTTCCTTATCTGTGAAGCTCTTTATCTGACCTTCAATTCTGAATGATAGCTTTGCTGGATAAAGTAATCTTGGTTGTAGGTTCTTGGTATTCATCACTTTGAATATTTCTTGCCACTCCCTTCTGGCCTGCAAAGTTTCTGTTGAGAAATCAGCTGACAGTCGTATGGGTATTCCCTTGTAGGTAACTGAGTTTCTTTCTCTTGCTGTTTTTAAGATTCTCTCTTTATCTTTTGCTCTTGGCATTTTAATTATGATGTGTCTTGGTGTGGTCCTCTTTGGATTCCTTTTGTTTGGGGTTCTCCGCACTTCTTGGACCTGTAAGTCCATTTCTTTCACCAGGTGGGGGAAGTTTTCTGTCATTATTTCTTCAAATAGGTTTTCAATATCTTGCTCTCTCTCATCTTCTGGCACCCCTATAATTCTGATGTTGGTACGCTTGAAGCTGTCCCAGAGGCTCCTTACACTATCCTCGCATTTTTGGATTCTTTTTTCATTTTGCTTTTCCGGTTGGGTGTTTTTTGCTTCCTCACTTTTCAAATCATTGACTTGATTCTTGCGCTCCTCTGGTCTGCTGTCGGGAGTCTGTATAATATTCGTTATTTCAGTCCGTGTATGCTTAATTTCTAGTCGGTTCCCCAATATAACATCGAGGGTCTCATTAGTTTTCTTGTAGATCTCATTAAGTTTATCGGCGGCTTCTAAACAGTTCTTGAGAGACCTTAAAAGTGTGGTTCTGAACTCTATATCTTCCATTGACAATTTTGTCCTGTTTCTTTGTCTCCGCATTTTGTTATGCTTCCTTGGTGCACCCCCTAGTGGTCTTTGTTCGCAGTCTTATAGTTAAACCTTGATTGTTGTAGCTAATACCAGGGAGGGTTTGACCTCCAGGCCAAGTGGCTATGAGAATCAGCTGTGTCAGCAGTGAGAGAACTTCTGTCCTCTAGGGAGGTGCTAATCTGGCGTTTGCCTGAGGCTATCTGGCAAATGCCTCAGTGCAGGGCTTGGTTGGGGCGGGTCGCACAGGATCAACAGGGTGGGCTGGAGAGAGCAGTTATGGCGGCTCTCAGTCCTGTACCCAGGGGCTCTGCCTCTCTGAGTCCCAGCACCCGCTGCAAAGCTCGGAGAGAAAGCTGCACTCGCTCTGACCGAAGCCAGACAGTCCCGCTTCTCCCGTTTGAGTCTGGGTCCCTAGAGACTCGCCCAGATCTGGAGCTCAGAGTCTGCGACTCCCTCCCGATTGAAAACGCCAACCGCGCCCTCCGCCGCCAGCCCGCTCCGCGCACTCCGCACCTCAGAATTTGACTTCAGCACTACGCCTCCTCTGAGTGTCCGTATGCGTTTCTCTTTCCTCCTAGTTGTAGGACTTCCACTCAGCCAGCGTTCCTGTGGTTCTGAGTGACGTCCGTTCTGTCTTTTAGTTTCACTTTTGAAGTAGTTGTTCAAGGCAGCAAACTCCCGCGTTAACCTATGCCGCCATCTTGGTTCTCCCAAGGGTTTTCTGTTAATAGTACTTACTCCCCCCTCCCCAAAGTTACCATTAAGCTCTGGCCAGCATTGCTCAGTGGTTAGAGCATTGGCCCGCGCACCTAAGGGTAGTGAGTCCAATTCCAGGCACATAGCTGGGTTGCAGGTTCAATCCGCAGCCCCTGTGGGGGTATGTGCGGGAGGCAACCAATCCATGTGTCTCTCTCACATAGATGTCTCTGTCTGTCTGTCTGTGCCTCTCTCTTCACCTCCCTCCCTCCTATCACTCTCTCTAAAAAGCAATGAAATAAATATCCTTGGGTGAGGAATACAAAAAATAAATAATAAATTAAAAAGCCTACACTTAAGAACAGTTGTTTCTTGCCCTGCCCGTAGTGCTGGTCACCAGGCAAATGTCCTTACCTCTTCTGTTTACCTGAATTTACAGCCATATTTCTAAATGTTTTATAGGGTTATTTTTTTAGATATTGACTTCCCACTATAGGGTATGAGGACTTCATTTTCCATGGCCCACTCCCCTCATTATTGCGAATGCTTTTTGGGTCTAGGATACTGTAAGCCTAGGATACTGACATTTCACAATAATGTACCTTTAGTATGTGTTCTCATTTATTGCTTAAGGGATGCAATGGAGACTCATGTCTTCTTCTAGGGACATTTTTTTGTTTTGTGTTTTTTCTTGTGGTTGTTAATCCTCACCCAAGGATATTTTTCCATTGATTTTTAGGGAGAGTGGAAGCGGGAGGGAAAGACAGAGAGAAACATCGATGTGAGAGAAACACATCCATTGGTTGCCTCCTGCAGGAGCCCTGACCAGGGCCTGGGCCAGGGAGGAACCTGCAACTGAGGTATGTGCCCTTGACTGGAATTGAACCCGGGACCTTTTGGTCCATAGGCCAACGTTCTATCCACTGAGCCAAACGACTAGGGCTAGGGACATTTTATTTATATATATATTGATTTCGGAGAGGAAGGGAGAGGAAGAGAGAGATAGAAACATCACTGAGAGAGAATCATTGATCAGCTGCCTCCTGCACACCCCACACAGGGATCGAACCCACAACCTGGGCATGTGCCTGACCAGAAATTGAACTGTGATCTCCTGTTTCCTAGGTCAACGCTCAACCACTGAGCCACACTGGCTGGGCTCTGGGGACATTTTTGTATTATTTCTTTGATAAATGCCTCTCCTCCATTTTCTCTCTCCTCATTCCAGACCTTGTATCAATTGAAACTCCTGAATTAATTCTATAAAATTTTTTTCTTCTATTTTCCATCTTTGCTTTCTATTCTACGTTTTGTGATTTTTTTGCATTTCCAACGAGCTCTTTCTTAAAATAGAATCTGTATATCAAGCCCTTCCTTGTTAACTGATATATGTTACACATGTAATTAGCATGTTAGAGAAAGCTTGTTATATATATGTTAGATATAATACACACTAATACCTGTTTTATGTGCAAACTCTTCTCTTTGTGAGTATAATGAAAATTAGTTTTCCCTACTTCAACCCTATTTTCTCCAGGTCCTACTTGCTTTATGTTGGAGCAGCGGTTCTCAACCTGGGGGTCGCGACCCCTTTGGGGGTCGAACGACCCTTTCACAGGGGTCGCCTGAGACCATCGGATAACACATATATAATTACATATTGCTTGTGTGATTAATCACTATGCTTTAATTATGTTCAATTTGTAACAATGAAATTGGGGGTCACCACAACATGAGGAACTGTATTAAAGTGCTGCGGCATTAGGAAGGTTGAGAACCACTGTGCTGGAGGTTTCCTCCAATGTCTGGGACTTGGCTGTCTGTCCATTTTCAAAGCTGAGAGTGTGTGGGATGGGAGAAGGGACCTGGGAGTCCTTGGACAGACTTTTGGTCCCATGTCTAAAGCTATCTAGTGGCCTCTGGTGCCTGTAAGTACTGAACCTCTGAGGGGTTTTCAGAACTCATTAACTTGTTTTCATTTACATTTCTGATTTTTGTTCCTTAAATTGTTACTTCCTCCACCCTGCTAAATCAATTAACACTCTCCCATTCAATTTTCATCTTCCTATAAATTTATTAAAATCTCATTTTTTCTCTCTTGTTTGCTTGGTTCTTATGGGTTAACTTTTCCCATTCCTTTATAATTTTAGAAAATGGGAGGAGGCAGAGAGAAACTCTGTTACTCTACCTTTTAAAATCAAAAGTCCACTGAAGTTCTAAGTAGGCAGGTTAAGGAATTCTTACCTTTTTAAAGATAAAATATAGGTGACTTTATAGAGAAGAGGCTGGAGAAGGGAGAAAATGGAGGCAAACAAAGTTGGTTTAAAGCTGTTGTAAAGTCCAAGTAAATCATGAGTGGCTGAGTTAGGGAGGTTGTAGTGGGGAAAGCAAGGATACATAAAAATGTGTTTTTTCTTACAGGTACTATCAACACTTGACTTAATGAAGAGGGTCAAATTATGTCAAGGCTTTCAGTGTGGTTGACTGCGATAGCGAAGGTGGAGGCCATTGTTTGTGGAGCTTTGGAAGCATTTACATTCAGAAGGAGGCGAAGGGACTGGAAGAAGACTGGGATGAAAGAGAACCAAAGGACTGTGGTGTTTGGTTTCAAGATGGGGGAGAGGGGCGGAGTCAACGTTTTCCAATGCAGGTAGGTCCCGTCAGACAAAAGCAGAGAAAGCCTCTGCATTTGGCAATTCAAAGTTGAGTTGCGACCTTTGAGAAAAAGGTTTTCATGGAAGCCTAGAGACTAAAGCTATATTCTAGCAGATTGAAGAATGAAGGTAATGAAATAGAGGCAGAATGTAAGGTATTATAGAAAATGGAATAAATCAATGTGTAGTCAGGGTCACAGGAACGTTCTTTATAGAGCAGAAGACATGTATATTTGTAGGAAGAAGGAAAAGATAGCACTGTGGAAGAGATTGCAAATAAAGTGAGGATGCAATTGATGATTCAAGACCTCAGAGGACATGTGATCAAGTTCATGGACAAAGATTGACCTCAGAAAGAAGGGCACTCCTGAGATTTCTAGGATCTTCTTCTCATAAACTCTGCTCCCCTTAAAACACACACACATACACCCACCCACGAGGTTTTTGTCTTGCAAAAAGGGTATTTCTCTCTCTCTCTCCCATACACACACACACATACACACCAGTTCAATTTATGGGAAACAGTAACTCATTGTAACATATGTCCTAAAATATTAGTTATTCAGTCCACAACAACACAATGGATGCTTTATCAAAAGAGTCTAAAGTTGGCTTTGTCATTTCTACTCCTTGTCCCCACCAAAGTCTCTCCATCAGTGTGGAGTGAACAGGGTATCTCTGGTCATCCAAGAGATAACTGTTGTATAAAATATCTATATGCATGTGTGCACATATACATTCACAGGCACACACATACAAACACATACTTCTCAGAAAGAATGTAAACTTATCGTTCTATCATTCTCCACTCTCTTAGCCTGCTTCATTTTTCTTCACAGCACCAGAGCCAATTTTCAGTCAATGTATTTTAGCATGGCTACATCAATTGCTGTAATATTGAAATACCCTACTTCTATGCTGGCAAATAAATAACTGCTGTCCCAGATCCTGAGTCCATCCCCTGCTCTTATTACCCCAGCACTAAGACCTTCCCAGGATTCCGCAACTAAAGGCCTAACACTAGTCACAACAAAGCTAAGGCTGGCCTATTTCTTTTTTACATTTACTAATGAGAAAGAGATTTATCGTTCCACTTATTCATGCATCCCTTGGTTGATTCTCGTACATCCCCTGACCGGGAATTGAACTATGACCTCCTGGATTATGGGATGACGCTCAATCAACTGAGCCACACCAGCCAGCCCTAGTGTCAAGTATTTTTAATATTCCACCCTGTATAGTACTTATCATTAGCTAAAATTACTTTACATACTTTAAAACATTTTTTAAATTATATATTTTTAAAGCATCACTCTTTTTTAAAATATGTACATATTTTATTGATTTCAGAGATGAAAGGAGAGGGAGAGATAGAAACACCAATGATGAAAGTCATTGATTGGCTGTCTCCTGCATGCCCCACACTGGGGATCAAGCCCACAACCCAGGTATATGCCCTGACCATGAATCCAACAGTGAACTCCTGGTTCATAGGTTGATGCTCAACCACTGAGCCACACAAGCACGGCTCTTTATATTCTTTTTAATATAAATTACCAATATTGTCAGTCTGCCAAGTAGAAAGTAAGCTGCATGAGGGCAGGGACTTTGTTTTAACATTATATCTCTGTTATCCTTTTCCCCACTGAGTGCTCAGAGTGAATTCCTTACCATATCTGGAGAAAAAGAATTTTCTGAGACTCCCAAGGGAGGATGAGTGATTTCTATTTGCGTGGAATTATATCCCTGCATCTCTAAAGTCCCATTTCCCTTAACCCAGTCCCGGAAAATGTACAGCTGGGGATTCAGTAGAGCTAGAAGCAAAGCCAATGTCCAGAATTTCCGTTCCATGGTGGAGCTGGGTCCTGTGTAGCATCAGGCTAGTTGCAGTCCATTAGTCCATTCTGTGTGTGGGGTCCACATGGCCGTGGGCTATATGGGCAAGTGCAGGAGCCTGAGAACTCCCCAAGCCAGGAGTGAAGAGAGCATGAGCACAAACCGGGAAGAGAGCGAACTCCTTTGTTTTCTGCCAAGGGCCATTTGGATATTTATAACATATTTCATAGGCCATACAAAATTATCAACTTAAAAATTAAGTTTGCCCAGTCAGTGTAGCTCAGTGGTTGATCTGTGATTCTATCATTCATGTTTCTATCTCTCCCTCTCCCTTCCTCTCTGAAATCAATAAGAAAAAATGTATTTTAAAAAGTTAGACTTCTATATTCAATGAATTCAACTTACTCCTAAGGCGTTGGCAGGGCCAGACCAAATGATTTCGTGACCTTATATGGCCTTTGGGGGCCGAGGGCCGGAAGTTCCCCACCCCTAGTTTAGGGGATTAAGTATCTCAAATCTCCCCATGCTTGCAGTGGTCACGGCTACTGTGGCCAATTATCTATCTCCAGGTATGACTGTCAGTCAATTACCTTCCCTATTTCACCCAGACTTTACTGGGCATGTGTCTAAACTGTAGCTTTCTGGCAACGCTGCACAAATGGCATGCCCATAATACTTGGCCTTCCCTTTGCTCCTTTCCAGTTACTCATAACTAGGTTAAATTACAACAGTATCATCTCCAGGACCTAAAATATACCAGGCACATAATGGATGATCAGAAATATTTGTTAAATAGGAGATATCTGTAATGCTATCAACAATAAAATATATATTTAAAAATGGGGAAAAATATTTGTTGAATGAATGAGCCAATTTTTTAAGGAAAAATATTTTCTAAATAAAACACATTTTTAATGTAAATAGATGTAGTTTTTTGTTACTTTTTTCAGAGTGGTTTCTGTATCTCATTTTTTTATCTTCCAGTTTCCTATTCATGCCCAGAGGCCTCCTTGTGGGTAAGAAATAACCAAAACAGTAAACATTTCATGTTACAGAATCATCTACCTCTAAGGCTACCATCTGTCAATTCAAAGGCCCAGTAAAACTGAAATCCTTGCTTCTCCTTATCTTAGATAGATCAAATAGGCAGTCAAAGCCACTATTTATAGAAAAGAGATTTGTTTTTCTCCTACCCAGAGCATTCTCAGAGGTGGGGGCTGTTATGTCCAGATTTCAAGATCCCCAAAAAGACCACACCAGGGAGCCAGCCAGTCCGATGCAAAAGCAGAGGGTCCTTTATTGAGCTAGCTCGACTCCCCCACCCTGGCTGACGCAGCAACCGGAAGCAGAGTGAAACAGCCATGAGAGAAACAGGGTTTTAATAGGGGGTGGAGTGAGGGGAGGGGAGCTGACTGTGGGCCCTGCCGATTGGCCAGGCGCCAGTCGGGTCTTCTTACACAGGATGTGGTCATCTCTATGGCGCGTATGTCCCTTGATTGTCATTGGTTAGTTTAAAGAAATCCCGGGCGTGGCCAGCAGGGGCCTGGGCTTCTGGGAAGAAGGTACTCTCCTGAGCACATGGCGGCTGCCCCAACATGGAGGGTACGGGGCAAGATGGAGGGCATAGCCCTCGCCCTTTCAGGGGCAAAGGATATAATTTATCCTATTTATACTTGGTATTTATGATCTTGCTTTTTGAAAACAGTTTTCTTCTTTTAACTGTTCATGCTGTTCTAAGTAGTTGTTAGGTAAATTTTTTCAAATGTTATTTTTTAAATATGGGAGATTTATGGGAGAAATTACATCCCACAAGTTTAAGTGGGAAATGATTATCAAAAGTAGCAAATTTTATAGTTCAAACCAAAAACTATCATGTATTGATTTTCAATATTGGAATTTAAGGGTGAAAAATGCTAGTTAATTAAATTAATGTATTCATGACTGAAACTTAAATTTACTTAATGTTCATTTTATCTTCTAAATTTTCCTTTTATTAGCCTGAGAGCAATCATCTGATTACAAAATTTATTCAAGATGTCAACTCTCACTGAGACTATTTTATCTCCTTCATTACCATAATGTACTTCTTAAAGTGAAAGAAAACATTGGCTCTATTGCAATGTGATATTATTGCTCAGATAATAAGATGCTGGCAATCAAGAGCAAATCCATCTTTTTTTTCGGAGAGGAAGGGAGAGGGAGAAAGAGGTATAAATATCAATGAGAAAGAATCATTGATCGGCTGCCTCCTGCATGCCCCACACTGGGGATTGAGCCCACAACCCAGGCATATGCCCTGACTGGGAATTGAACCGTGACCTCCTGGTTCATAGGTCGATTCTCAACCACTGAGCCACGCCGGCCAGACGAGTAGATCCATCTTTATTGTGTATTCTGCCAAGAAAATTTACAGCGTGGGGCAAAAGTAGGTTTACAGTTGTTCATATGTAAAACAATACAAAAATTAATAAATACCAATACAAGAATAAACTCTGTTTTGTGTGTTCACAACTGCAAACCTACTTTAGCCCCTTTGTATTTACTATAATGCTTAGAAAATTAAATTTAATCTCCTATAACTATTTTCCTAGGATAGGAGATGAGAGAGTCAAGCAATATGTAAATCTAAAAAAAAACAGATAATGAGTAGGGATACCATTGGTATTTGAGTCTGGTGGCTAACAGTTCTAGCACTCCTACGAATGAAAACAGAAGGCTTTCATAGTTCTTTTACAGCTCAGATAAATGATTTTGTATTATCATGTAGAGATACAGAGAGCAGTCTTTATAAATGAAGTGACATCTGTAATTTGTTATAAATAATCAAATAAGAGATAGTGGGTGCAAGTATAGATATAAGTTTAGCAATCAGTTGAAGGTGGGTGATAGGGTCATACACATAAGAGTCCATACCGGTTTTTCTACATTTGTGTCTGATGGAACTTTCCAGACTGAACAGGTTTTACAACCTGAAAGGTAGAATCAGGACAGAATTGGTGCAGGTATTGAGGAGAAAAGAAAAACGGTGGAAATTTGTAGTGGTATTTGCCTTAGCAATTTAATAACATTCAGCTTGTCCATCTAGAGCCAATTTTGTGGCATATGCCCTGAATCAACTTCACATGTGTGTGCAAACAGACATATCTTATTTAAGAAAATA